GAAATAACCGTGTTTAGAATAACTTTTCTAGGACGACCAGGGCACTTTACATACTTTTAGTAGTACTATCGATTTCATATAGTCAAACCTTCTCGGCTTTAGGTCATGTATAAAGTGGGCGGACCTGTGCGGAAGTACCGTTATTATAGCTATCGAATGATAATGAGAATAGAGCATGACTATGCATCTAGTTAAATTTCACACGCATATGAAAATGAATAATTTATGTTAAATATCGTCATATAATCCAATAACACATTTTCAGACTGCATCCGTAGTTTTTATTATTTTCTCTTAGCAATATTTTGCATTATCAATTATTATAGTTTTGCATAACTTGAACTTAGAATGTATGAAAAGTTTATTTTAGTGTAGAAGGTGAAGTAAAGTAGATTTTTTCTTTTACTGTGTAAGATGTAGAGATTTTTGTTTTTATTTTTTGCTTTAGTTTAGTAAATATTCATTCATTATCCCTATTTCAGTTTTATTATTATTGATACTTTATTGAAGAGGGACTAATGTCGGGACAAATACACTTATTACACCCCCCTCATATATCGACTANGTATTTGTCCCACTAATGTCACGTACTAGGTAACATTTTTTCGAAGAAAAATTCTTGTTAATGTAAGTAATCAAGATACTATATAAACAAGCGCTATTTTCTTTTTATGTTACAGTATATCAAAAAAGGGACTAACTAACATATACTATAGTAAACTTAATATCTGAATTTCCTACAAAGTAAGTGATATAAAAATATTAGTTTACGCCTATCAAATATCTATTCATAGATTTTCAATAATGCAAAATAAAGTAGTTGGTATGGTGTTCGTATTGACCATTTTCACGTTATGTCTGATGGTTAAACAAATAAATGCCGGTGATATAAGCATAGAATGTACACAAAAATGTATTAAATATTGGGAATGTCGATTAAAAGGATTGTTCATATTTGGTGATTGCGATGATAGTGGTTGTGACTGCAGTAAATTTGCTTGGCAATCAAAACGTTATTTAGATGCATATGCTAATGTTCGTAGCAATAAACGATATTTTCATCAAGACAAAGAATAAAAAGCTAGAACAGACATATATTACATATATATATAAAATATTGAACTGTCAGTTTATCATGTGATTGTATCTGATGGGGTCCTGCCGTTACAATGTATCGCTACTATACCGGTGTTCTGTGAAATTTTAGTGAAACTAGTTCCGCGTAGAATCACAGAATATATGGATAGCTTCTGCATCACATCACTATGCTCATGAAACTCTATCCTCGCTTTGTAATAGTTTTTTTCCTAATTTCGTTATATAGTTTTGTTTTTATTCAAACAAATCTATACTAACTCTTAAACTTCCATATGCGCCATTAAACGAAAATCATACTGGCATAGGGTAAAAGTTTGATTTTTCTCCTACTTTTATTTCATGGAGGTTGACAGATACAGTCGGCTTCATCTTTTTGTCTCCTTGACATTACAGATGCAGTATAGTTGGTCATATAAGGAAATCTTTAATGATAGGAAAGTTATTAGCATTTTATGGTGATGATGCTACACAAAATACTTGAATAATGTGTATGGTTTTAGTATGAGAGATTCCTTACTGATCTTTAGCAGTTTCGAGATTATATTGAGTCTCTACTAAGCTAGCAGAGTTGTTCGAGTCCGTGTCCGGACTGGAAGATTTTTCGGTGGACTCGACTTTGGCTGAAGGTTTTTTTTTTGAAGGACTCGGGCTCGAACTTGAGTTTTGATATTTCGAGTCGGATCTATCCAAGTCTGCATAACTTAGCTGGAAAGTTTCTGTGTGTTCCGGTTAGATTCTGAATTATCACCACGATTGTGTAATTATCATCACTAAAACTAGAAAGAGTGCAGGTATTATCACTATTTTGCATTATCGATTATTATAGTTTTACAGTAGTAAATGGACATGGAGGCGCATCTAATTAAAAGTCCATTTTCCAGCTAGTAATCTAGATGATACATAATCGTTCATGGGCCGATTACGGACGACACGCATGTACATTTTCCCCGTGCTTAGGAATGTCGTGAGCAAAGGAACTTCTTTATCGTCGTTCTTTATCCAGCCTTTGACACGTTTTCTTTTCTTTCTCATTATTGAAATTAAACAGCAAGACTCAACGTTGCATGACTGACTTTGCTAAGTATGACTTTATTATGCTAGAAGTGTAATTCGTTTGTTCTGCTGTTAAAAGACTTTCATTCTGTTCATCCCACATTAGAGTATTATTTGCTGTTGTTAGTATTCTATTATGAAGATTTTCATGAAAAAGTGAAAATCAAGGAAAGTTTTTGAAATACACATTGGTCAGCTCAGTTTTTAATCCTGATGCCGAATATGATATTTTTATTGCATAAAAGTTGAGTCCTGATGAAGAAAATTAAGAATTACGAACAGAATTCTGGCTTTGCAGAAATATTTCTATTGTCCAAGTACCCTAGGACACTTTTTTTTCTATATTATATATATCAGATTGTAGCTTGAGAAATTCTCTATCAGAATGGTGGTATTGTTTGGAGTTTTCGTTATGCCGTTATTTTTCAAATGACACTTTAATCTGGTAGAGAAGACTAAATTAACGTTAATTAGTACTAAAACCTCAGAACATTTACTTCAAAGTGTCCTCTAGAAAATCTAAATGGGGAGAGCCTTCCCCCTTAAGAGAAACATCTTTCATTTCCAAATCAGTCTTACCGCGTATATACGATCAATTTTTGTATCTACAGTTAGCACTATCACTGATACTTGTTTCTGTAGATTTTCTTGCTTTCAGCATTGGAATAATTTTATTTAAATTTATACACAGCAGCCATAGATCACTCAATAGTTAAATTTTTCGTAAGTAAAAAATGATACATTATTTTTATTTTTTTTATTACTGTGTTTATGAAATAATCATTTTTTGTTCACTTTCTTCTATTTTTTACAGCAACAATTGCGAATTATGAAAATACCAATGTAAATAATATTTGTGGCAGCCATACATGCACCGGCTGCTACTAATAATCGCAAGGGTAGTATTTTTGATGTTATCGGTTGATGAATAATGGATGCCGAAAATATTGATGATGCAAAATTAGTCCCCGTAGCTTGATTTATTTCATCACTTAATATGGCTGTTCCATTACACACATTAGCCGGTAATACACACAATGTAAGATTGTTAAGAAATATTATGGAAATGATGATTAAAGCAGCGGCAAATAGGACCGATATCACATTGGCGAGCACGGAAAATATTTCACAACATGACGGTTTACAACAGCAACAGCCTAAAATAAAAACCAAAGCATTTTCAATAAATAAAATTTTCTATTTAGTTATTTAAAATTTAGATTCGAACATAGCAGTTCAGAGTTTATGTTCCAAGGAAATATTTCAGAGTGATCAACAGACCTTTTACGTTAAACATACCAGCTATACGATACTCATTAAGAGTTTCTAATCTCAATTTTTAGAATCTCTAAAAAACCAAAAAATTTGCTGATGTGATTTTTCTGAACCTACCATTTCAATAGTACATGAAATTATTTATGTTACGCTATTTTCAAGCTTAGTAAATAAATCAGAACTTTACATTGAACTTTTACTTTTAGTCAGTGTCCATTACCTATGTTCACTTTTTTCCATCAAGACATTCTGTATATTAAAAAAGATCAAAATATTTAGATAACTTCATCTCCTCTACAAAAAAGAGTCTTGATTTCTGTTTGATTGGAAGAACATAATGAATTGAATCAAGTTGAATACTCTTCCGTATCAAAGATCTTTCTTTATTCGAAAAAATGTGACGTTTCGGTGTCGAATGGCACCTTCATCAGACAATAGGATGCATACACTCACACTCTCTTATATACACACGGACGTGATTCAAAAAAGAGTCTTATAAAAAATTTCATAAAATAATTTCTTTGGACTTCCAGAGCCGGAATTGCAAAAACTTAGTCGGGGGCAGTCTATAGACCTCAATGAGTATGACTCTATGAATCTCGAATCCATATATTCAAATCAGTGTATCGAACTCTGTATAATGTAAAGATCATTTGATCATTTAAGAATGTTGATTTGCCAGAAACTCGAGAGTGGCTTTGTAACGAGTGCCATCGTTTGTTGAAATACTTAGTAATAAGAACTTCTTCTGTCTTATCACATATCCATGTTCTTTCAAAATTAATTTTCAGTGACACATTCAGTTTTATTTTAGTGCTATATATCTGCTATTACTGAGGATTTTTAGCTGCAAAACCTTTCTAAGGTAGATGCTATCATTACTTACATAAACATGACACGGTTGTTGATATTATAAAAAAAGCTGCGCCACACCATATTCCAGCATACATTGTACCACGAAATATATCGATTAATACGTTCCATATTTCAAGACCAATGCAAGCAAATGTCAATAAATATTGCATAAGGGATATAATAGCAGCTATTGGACACGGTACCTTTTTCATTTTTTTATCGTGTTTATTTAAGTTGGTTTAAATTTGAAAGCTTAGAAAAATGAAACAGAATATTAAAATTAAAAAGGAGGTAGACTGAAAGATTCAATTTGACTAGGTAAACCACCACTAATGGACGGTGGTACTTAAAAAGATTTGAGATTTCTTGTTAGTAATGGACTACCTACTACACAAGTCTTCGAAGAACTTTATATATATTCATTACTTCATGTACCATACAGAGACATTGATTTTGCGAAATTGAGATATGTTGTTGCTCGGTTTATTTTAAAATGAAATAACTGATTTATTTTTCTTAAGATCATATGAGAATTCATCAGATCCTGCAAGGTTATGTCTCTGATTCTGTCATACAGATATCTTTCATAACCTCTCTAATAAAATATACTGTTACTCTTCTCATCATGTTTTCTAATTACGATCAGGGTTGATTACGTTCCGTATAGCCATGCACGTTTTATTTGTGCTTAGTTGATGTGTAATCTCAAAGAACGAAAGAATTGTCGGTTTCATCAGAACGATTCAGAAGAATATATACCGTATACTGTATCCACCAAGATTTATGTGCTAGAAAAACGACGAATCTTGCATGATTTTATGATATTAGTTCCATCTGCCCAAGCAAACATGACCTATAGGAAAAATCTAGACACATTTCTTCTGTAATCAGGCGATGCACGACTAGCTGCCATCACTTACTAGTTGGAAAAGGGACTTTTGACTAGATGTGTCTGCGTGTGCAACTAGCAACAGTTAAATCGATCGATTATAGGGCGATATATCGATAGTTCCAACTAGAAGAAATCTGGCAATCGCCCAATTACTAGATTTCCACTGTCGTTACTCAATAGTTGTAATCGAGTAAAAATCTAGTAATCTAGATAAATTGGGCGATACCAGATTGTTTTTTTACGCCTACCTGGGTTCGACTTTATAAGGTTTAGGACGTTATCGATGCTCAGAGCAATCCTCATAGTTAAAGCTGTACAACAGTTGTTTACCTTTACCTTGAAAGTAAACTTTTGTTCAGAAAAAATTAAATTGAAGTCTTAGAATTCTTGTCAAAGACTGAGCGAGAAAACGTCAGTTTATTTATTAAACTTCTTTCCGTTGTTTGAAGAAGAAATACAGTATTAATGATGCACGTAAGCAATCTAAGAGTAGAAACAAAATATTTTTTTATTTTACTCGTTTTTTTTATGGTACCGAATTTGTTCTACAGTTCTGTTTTTCCTCTCTCCTTAATGCTAAAAATTAATGTGAAGAAGTGCGAGATTTAGGAGAGGAAAAAAACCCTTAATATTAAAAGCAAAAAATTCCGTTTTTCTTTTCAAGCGATGAATAGAAAAGGAACCTTTCTTATATTCTTTTCCTATTATTTACAGAATTGTAATAAAAAGCAAACAGAAACGGAGAAACATAAATCAGGTGCAAGTCTTAGTAGACAAATCAAATATAAAAAGAAAAAACTTAACGAAAACCTTTGTGACAATATTCAAAATCTTTGACAATATATCCTTCTTCCAAATATGTATGACACATTTCTTTGCTCCGTCAGCAAAGCTCTATCCGAAGAATAGGTTTTTGTTGAGTATAGAACAATTCTCTGTTTTCTGCGTAATCTAGTTGCAACCATTTTGGAACCCAAAACCATTTAGACTACTTAAATGGGCAAAGTATGTAAAATAAATACAGACTGATCGTCTCCATCAATGAATTATGCCATAGTTGTTGTTACGTAGAGGTAGACAAAATTTGAGCGGATTGTCTAATAAGTTGTTTTTTTATGGCATATCAATTTTCTCATTAAAAATTTGGAATTTATATGAAGTATTGCCTTTGTGTGTTGCTTTAGCCGACTCTTTTTTACACTCGTCAATAATGTCATTAGTATCAGGAAGAAAATTCTTATAAATGTCATGCAGAGTCGGAACGGTTTTCGGACTTTTTACCTAGAAGTATGCAAAAGCTATTATTTTTTCCAGTAAAAGGCTTCGCATGGAAGAAAGGAATCGTTTTATTTGTAATAATGCACTAAAGAGAGTGTCATCGCTGATCTTTTCAGAACTTAATGTTGTTACCTTAACAAACAAAAAACTTTACATTACTACTAATTTTTTTTCCAACTACTTTATTTTGCATTATTGAAAATCTATGAATAGATATTTGATAGGCGTAAACTAATATTTTTATATCACTTACCTTTTAGGAAATTCAGATATTAAGTTTACTGTAGTATATGTTAGTTAGTCCCTTTTTTGATATACTGTAACATAAAAAGAAAATAGCGCTTGTTTATATAGTATCTTGATTACTTACATTAACAAGAATTTTTCTTCGAAAAAATGTTACCTAGTACTTTAACATTATAAAACTTCTCAAGGGACGCGTTATACTGTTGTGTTAGATTCCATAGCGAGCTAAACCTCCCAACTATCACTCACTTTAGCCATAATGAATAGTAGAGTAAGAGCATACTTTTTAAGTAAAATAACTGACGTGTCAGCTGCTTTTTGCGGCGTATGCGAGGTTAAGGGCGGGACAGGCATGACATATTCACGATATTGAGTCATCTTCTCTCACATAATCGTAGGACCGTTTTGGAGGTGGTTATAATTTTTATGTGTTTGTTCGGAATCGTATTTGTTACTTATAACTGGAACGAATGACACCTGTTTATTCCTATTTAATTCCTCGTTCTTTTTCACACCTACCATAAAAATAATATTTATATCATGACTCAACAGTGTTCTATGTCTCTTTTCATAAACATGCAGCAGTATATAACAAAGTGTAGGAAACAGAACAAAACGAAACTGTTTTACTATTCTATTTGGGCAAGAATAATTTACAATACTTTTCTTTTCGCATAGGTATTATTTCAACCTGACATGACATGTATGACCTTTCAACAAACATTTCAGATACGAAAGTTATTAGATTCTTCTGGAGCCAGAATCTTCAAGTAATCTGGAGCCAGAATCTTCAAGTACACTCTCGTCCTTTTTTCCTTTCCTTTTTGCTGTTATTTATCTGCGCCATCAATAAAAGCATGAGGACAAAGTGGACGCGTAAAACTTGGTTGAGCAGTAGACCGTTCACGTGCAACTGTGACACATGCTGAAATGTCGAAATTTGGCCACGCTTTTGTTCCTCTTTACATATACCGATATATAAAGAATATAAAATACTTTATTTTCGTAAACTTAACACATTTTCATCCAAACGTTTAGACAGGAAAACTTTGGATAATTGGATATTAAGTTCGCGGAAATAAAGCATTTTATACTCTTCATGAGCCATTGCAGATAGACCACGACCAACCGTGCTCAATCGGCTTTCTCCAAACTTGATTTCAATTATATAGGTCAAAAGTACAATCAATAGCAAGTTTTTTGACCCAAATGGCAGCTCTACAATCCAAGTAGTTATTGAGATATTCAAGTTTTAAGAAAAGTTGCCATTTTTTGGTGGTGAATTAGAATCAATTAGCGTTTAATCTTGAGTGTGTTATTTTCTAACGGCTTGACTTAGAGGCACGAAAATTTTAGTACAAATACAACTTGGATCGGGCTAGAAAACAACGTAAGATCGGACTCCAGAGGTCGTTTTATTATCAAGTTACAGAGAGCTACCGCTGCTACTTTACCATTCATTATCTCGTGCGTAACCAGCTCAGTCAGGCTCAGCCTTTTAGAATAGATACTAGAAGAGTAGAGTCATAAAACGGCAAAAGAAAAGCTTTGGGCGTCCGACAGGAACGCGAGATATTGAATTTTTAGTGAAATTCGGCATCGACGGATAGACTCAGTCTATATAAAACCTACCACCAATTTCATCGACCTTTTCCGTCAGTGACGAGATCTGTCTCATATTTTAGAGCTCAGCAAGCTGAACCGAATGGTGAAAATCGCAAGTCTCTAGCCGTATTAGAAAAAACGTCATATCCATTTTATCCTCGTAGCGAAAAAATGCATCTTCGTGATTTTTCCCTAGAAAAGGCTCAAGAACTGTTAAGCCATGAAGAATCTCTGCTTCGAAAGATATTTTTCTACAAGGTATTTTTACCGTTTATTACAAAAACACAACTGACGTAAAGAAACTAGAGCTGCATGTTACATTGAAAGAAGAACAGAAAATCAATAAAGGAATTGTTGAAACGATAGATCGAAGAGATAAAGACGGTATATTCGTTTATGTTGAATGTTCCGATGCGTATAAAACAAATCACGGACTTATTAATCTCACAGAAGAACAAGTGCTGGCAGCACCTGTTCTTCTGTGAGATTATTAAGTAACGCTCCTCATGTATCTTTCGAAATTTAGGCTGCTGCAGCATCGTGCTGCAGCAGCCTAAATTTCGAAAGATACATGAGGAGCGTTTCGACTCCGCGGTTGGACCACAGGATAACTGTGACCGAGCACATTTATTCCTCTAAGTGATGGTATTGGATAGCACAACAAAGAACGATGGTGGTTTAGAGGACTGGATAAAAGACAAGCTTACTTCTGAAATTTATGATGAAATAAATAAGGAAATGAAACATATTTTACAGAATTTCAACATCGAGTACAACGGCAAGTATCTGCAAATGACAGCTGGTGGACATTCTTTAGAAAACGTAAATTAAAACATTAATTTTTATATGTTGTACTTTTACCTGCAGTTTTCGACCTAAACTGTCAAAGTAAGTCACCTCAAGTGGTGACCAGTTCAGAAAACCGAGTTTTAGAAAATTAATTTTTCTGAGGGCAAGGACAAAAGGCACATGCCGAACATGATCTTCGCTTTGTTCCTAAATGTTGCTTTAGCGGCAAAAACTCTCAACACTGAAAAATTACTGAAATTGCGTTTTCTGCAACTTTTTTCGGTTCTTTTTACCAAATACAAGTTGGATCCTCGTTTTTATACCTGAAAAAAAAGTACTCGAAACATCTCTCATATCGTCTTTTAGGTCAATTTGTCTGTTGTAAAAACAATTTCTTCCTAT